CCGGCGCTGCCAGGGGGGCCCCCCCCCCCCCCCCCCCATACCCGGGGAGCTGCGTTCTCCAGGTGCGTGGTGTCCACCGCGGTGCCCAGCGTCACGGGGCCAGACTCTGCTTTCTTCAGGTTCTCCTTCACCTCCACTAGGTTCAGCTCCAGGTCCACTCTCCAGCTCTCCTTCCTTTTGCATTCTTCTTCCACCTCCTTCAGCCTCTGCTCCAGGCTCTTGTCTGTGAAGGGAGAGGTAACTTGGTGCCAGCTGGGAACTTGGGGAGCTCGTGAGGGGAGCAGGGACTGGGGCACATCCTGTACATTTTCCTTATATTTTGCCTCAAGAGGGACTGTGACAGAGCAAGCTCTTGCTCTACTGCAATTTGGGCTACCCGGTTCGGCTCAAAGCACCAGGGCTCCCCCCTGCCCCTTCTGGTCCCAGGTGGCCCAGGATCATTGCCCCCTCCTTCCCCGTGGTCCCACCTTGGCTCATTTCCACACATCACCCCTCGCCCTGCTCTACCTGTGCTGCTCCCCAGCATTTCCTTCAGCTCCCGCCTCTCCTTGCGCAGCTGGGTGAGTTGAGCCCGGATTTCATCCTTCTCCTTCTCCAGCCGCTCCTTCTCCTCTGTAAACCGCTTCACCTCTGCCTCCGTCCGGTTCTTGCCCAGCTTGGTTTCTACTGCTGCTGCTGGAAACACAACCCACCAAACCAAGCTCAGCCAGGGGAAAAACCAGGAGGGAAAACCTCTTCAGGCGCTTGGAAACAAAACGAATGAGGGTCTGGAAAGTCACCAACCAGCCCGTCAGGCCCTGTAAAGCTACTGTATAGCAGCAGCAAGCTGAACCACAGGGCAAAGCTCACCCACCCGCAGAGCACCAGCTGCCTCCAAGCCCCAGCTGCTGCAGGGACCCACTGGCCGCTCACCCGGCAGTGGCATCTTGGGCCTGTATGCGGGCACCAGCTGGGGACTGCCCGCCGTCACCGGGCCCACCGGCAGCTCCGGGGCCGGCTGGGGGAAGGCGATGTTCTGCTGCTGCGTCTGGATTTTGACAGCGGGCATCCGTGGCAGCGCCTCGTCGGGTTCTGGCTTCTCTGGGTGTTTCTGTGGGGGGGAAATGAAGTGGGATGATGTGGTGTGGGGGGAACTGATTAAGCCTGGCCCCACACCACAGTTCAGGACAGTACCTGCTCCAAGGTCTCCATCGCCTTACTACAGGGCTCGGCTTCCTTAGCCACGAGGGCTGTCTCGGCTGCGCTCTCCGCTGCAGCCTTGTTGGCAGCCCTTTCTAAAGGCGGTGAGCTGAGGGGTGAAGGCTGGCATGACTTCTTGCCAGCACAGTGTAGGAAGGACTTCACTGGGGTGAGATCCAGGTACACTCTGTCTTGGTCCCCCTCCAATTTGTTCTCACTCTTGGGTACTTCCTCCTGCAAAAAGAGAACGTTCTGCTGAAAAGGGACCATCTGCTGCAGCCAGAAGTACAGGAAACATCTCACTGCAGAGCAGCATCAACTCAGCAATCTTCCATAAACCTTAGAGGAACTAAAACCCCATTCCCTAAGTCACTCCATACAGGTCTTTTTGGTGTACTGAAGGAAGGGCTCTCCTTCAATAGGTCTTTCCCATGGTAGCAGCAGCCCCACACAAGGATCTCACACTGTTGTACATCCAGCAATCCCTGCCAGATTCTTTGCCTTTCCCAGGATAACAGTCCCATCCCCAGCACGGCCCATCTTTCTTGTCCTTACACGCAGGACTTGCTCTCACAGGCATCAAAACGAATTTTGATAGATTAGGCTCCAAACAACCTGCTACCTATCACCAAATAATGCATGCTGTTTACTAATGGAAACCGTGAGATTTTATCCCAGCTGCCTGAGGATCCCTACAGCACCCTACTGGAAACCTCTCCTCCATTCCTTAGCGACTCTCATCTCCAGCACTCACTTCTGCTCCATTGCAAAAGCCTGGATTGCCCCAGGGGCTGGGAATCCCCTTCACGGCTGTTGGAAAAACCTTCCCCCATCACTGCTGGAGACTCCCTCTGGCCAGATGTTTTTGGAAAAACCTCCCCCATCACTGCTGGAGACTCCCCCTGGCCAGATGTTTTTGGAAAAACCTCCCCCATCACTGCTGGAGACTCCCCCTGGCCAAATGTTTGCCGGCGGTCTCCACAAGAGCTCTCTGCAGCGAGGCAGCTGCCTGCAACACTGGGCGTCTTACCACAGGCAGGTCTGGCAGATCCACGTCATCGTACAGCTCCTCCTGCTGCACCCTGCCCTTTGGCAGGTTGTCGATGTAGGCGTTGGGCTCAGAGTACTTCCTCTGCATTAAGCTGTGAACAGGCAGCAGGACAGCCCATCAATCAGGAGGGATCGGTCTCGCTGCGCAGCCGTGCCATGCTGCATTTTGGGGCATTGGAGCATAGCAGTCCTGGGGTCTGGGCAGGGCCACACGGCCAGACGCAGGAGACAAGAAGGTAGAGCCGTGCAGCGATGTGATCGCTGCTGCCGCTGCCCGTTAAGCAGCTCCCACCAGAGTGGGGCTACATTTCCCCTTAGCTCTGTCCTTTCTCGCCCAGCCATCAGGCACAGCACCGCAGCAGCACAACCGCCCTGCCCCGCTGGCACGGTGAACCGCGTGGCTGGGTGCCCACCGCCCTGCACCCCCCCAGCCAAGCCCACCCCACCAACCTGCCTTTGCAAAAGCCACCTGGGCGCATGTCCCTAGCCCCATGGCAAGCTGCAGCTCAGGTTAGATGGCATCATGGTGAGACAATGACAAGTTCTCTGCTGCCCCGCACCAAGCTTCCAAAGAAAGCGACTGAGCTGCAGGTGTGAATTTACCCCCTATTCCCATGGCAGCCAACCTCCTGCAAGCAGAGGGACCCCCGCTCCAGCTTGCTTCCCTTCTACCAGCCTTGCGTAGTCCCACCCGTTACCGCTGACGTACAAGAAGGAGTTCTTCGCCGCGCTCACAATGCAGGAAACCCTGTCAGCATCCACGTAATCGTAGGTAAATTCCTCCGGGTCTGTTTTTGAACCTGACTCCGACAAGAGGAGACCCAGCCAGTGGCCCATTTCCTCCGAGGACTTTGCCTACAAGGTGACCAGACAGATAGGACAGGTTGCAACAGCAGTTTCTCTGCACTCCCAAGGCTCTTGCTGACTTCGCCTTGGGTTGGGAAGTATGCTGGCAGTCCTCTGGGCTCACAAGGGGAAAGATGAACTGCTGGGTATTTGTATTAAACGCAAGGCTGCATTAAAGAAGAAAGCAGTACCGCTCCGCTTTGCAAATTTGGCAGATACATGAATGCAGCTCTTTGCTTAAGTCCTTCCTAAAATTTCTAGTCAGTGTCCATTTTCCTTTCAATGGTGATCAACTCAGCTGACTACGAAGAGTAAGAGAAGTCTCTGGGGCTGGAGATGCTGGCCAGGAACCGGCTTTGGAGAGGAAAGCATGAGGGTTTTATTTTGCACCAGCAGAGCGCAGCAATAGGATTGCCAAACGCAGATGTGCAAGGAGACCCAAGCACAGCAGGGAGCCTGCGAGTTCCTTATGCTAGAGCCCAAACCCCTTCCAGGGCTGTTTGCACAGGGGAGAGGGGAAGGGAAGTCTTTAAAGTGGGATCAGAGATCATCAAATAGCCCCTCACTTTAACATGGTCAGTACCAAATTCCCAGCTGCAGTGAACAATCTGACATTTTGCAAAATGAAGAGTTAAATATGGTGCCTTGAAGTCAGCTCTAGCAAATAGGCACATGCACTTCACAGTAGTGGGGGATTTCTACCTGAAGCAAAAAGAAGTGGGCTGATGCAGCCATCTTTTGCTTTGATTTAAGGAGTTAGAGCAGTAAGCACAAAGTAAAATTCAGGGCACGTGGATCCCAAACGGGAAAGTATATTTTAAACTTTCAATCTGTTTTATTTAGCAGAGACTTCAGTCCCTGGGAAGCCCGCCAGCCAGCCTGTACGTCGAGTCTGACATCTCAACAAAATACAGATTCTTCCTTTCACAAAATGTAAATTTTACCAGCATCTCTTCTTCACATCTGTAATTAGGCACAATTTCTTAGACACAGACATACCCTGAATCAGAAGCTAAACAAAAACACCTTCAAACTTCATGGCAGGCCCTCAAAGTCAGTTGTTTAGCTATAAATACTCCACACACTGGAAAAATACAGGAAATTGCTCACATTGTCCACCTCCTACTGTAATCATGCTGTCGTCAGAGAGAACTAAGATTAGAGATAAACAGTTCTGGATGCAGGCAAAGGAAAGTAACAGATGGACATGAATTCACTTGCGCTTTCAGGGGCAGATCTGTGATCAGTTTACTTGGGATGCATGACCCGTGGCTTTGGGACTCTGTTTTCAGAAGACAAAGTTCTCTGTTCCTCCTAACCCCAGACTTAAATCCCTAAAGTGGCATTCCTCTCATCTAACATTAGCCCTCTGAAATGCATCCTGTATAACTTAATCATCCAAGGTTATCCTATAGTCAGTCAGTGGAGAGAGATGGGCACCTCCAGAGGACCCTTCATCCCATCCTAAGATGAGTGCCTAAGATGAAGGCTGAATGGTCCTCTGGAGGCACCAGCATCAGACACAGCCTGGATTACCAGCGAGGTGGAACACCTTCTAGGTGACCACAGGCAGATGAACCAAAGTCCCACACTTCAGGTTCTGTTTTGCTGGACTGAGGGTTCCTCTGGAGGACCTCAATGGCATTTAGGCCTCCTAAGACACCCAAGCTGATGACTTAAAGCAGAGCTTTCTTGGAGATATGCACCCTACCTCCAGAATGACCCGTTCTTCTCCGTTGTGCAGGATGCGGAAGGAGTAGAGATGATCAGGGCTTGGTTCTGGGATAATTTCACAACCTGCCAAACTCAGGGGCTGCTGAGCCAGTTTGCTTCGGTTCTTGTCCTGGTAGAAATGGAGGTGACCGTCTTTTATCTGACACCAACGGGACTTCCACTGGCTGTTCACTAGCACATTCAGGTAACCTGCAAGCAAGAACAGGTTACTTAAGCACATTTTCCACCCCAGGGGGAGAGGGAATCCAAACTTATTTATGTGCATGGCGATGTCTGATGGGTAAGTTCCGAGATCACCACACAACACAAAGCCACAGACAATGACAAAGAGCAAGAGCACAACGACAAGCTGTCCTATCCATGTGAAACAGGGTGAAAAGGGTAAAAATCTGTTCAAAATGAGATCCTTGAAATTCAGGTTAGGTCTAGAGCAGCAAGCTGGCTGCAGACGGTTGGACAAAGTTGATCCCAGATGGTGAATACCAGCTGACCCACACAAGTCTCTCCCTGCTGACTCCCACACCCTGGGCTGGCACCCAGGACGACCAGCACAGATGTCCTCTGCGTGCATGTCTGGTATTGCCTGCCCTTCCTCTTGTGTCGCCCTGCGAGCTATTGCCCACCCTTGTAAGCCACACAGTCACCTTAACGTGTTGGAGGCACCACAATCTGCATGGATTCACTGGCATGGGCCAAGCAGGCTGTGGCCTCTCTGCCTCCCCCAGCAGGACAGCCTGGCACATGTGCATTCGAGGAGGGTGATGCCTGGGGCTCATCCTGCCCTGCACGCCGAGATCCAGCCCCGAGAAAAGTCCCTGCAGAGGGGCTCATGCTGCCACTTACTTGAAGTCTCCAGGGATCTCTCTGGGCTATCCAGGGAGCTAGATTTTTTCCTCCCGAGGTTCATCAGGTTGCTCAGTTTCAGGCCAGTTGTGCCCTTCTTCTTAACTATCAGAAAAGAAAGAGACATACACATGGCTTTCCCAGCTCACAGCCGTACACGGTCTGCTGTCCCAGCTGGGTGTCCTGCCCCAAAGCTGCCTGCGCTGCCATCCTGCACCCAACAGCACTGCGGCACACGCATCCCTTGCAGAGGGCAAACCTGGGACTCAGGGACAGGCTGTAATAGTCCACAGCCCAGGGAGATGATGAGCGAGATGGCGCCAGTAATCTCAGTTAAGTAATTTGCTGAAGATACTTAATCTATATTGCTTTAAACTTGGGTTAGTTCTGACCAAACACCAGCCTCAGCAGGAGCTGTGGGAAGACTGTTTGCACAGGTCTTGCAGGTGCCAACGTCCCTTCACTTTCTTACACTACAAAGAATTGAATTAAAAACCCTTACCTATAAATATTTACTGCATTCAAGTCTTTTCCTTTCTAAAAGAGGGACTCAAGGTGGGGAGGGGGAAAGCTTATGCCCAAAGAGCCTCTTTGCTACTGAGTATATCAGTCAGTGTGTGAATATGGCTGTGTAATCATCAGATAATCCTGGTAAGAAATCAAGTTGGATTTTTCTAGTCCAGATTTTCCTTCCTGCTATCATAACAAAATGATGAAGTCCTAGTGTAGAGGGACTCAGCAGCTGAGCTCCATCTGTTGGGTGACACCAGTGGGTCCTCAGCATGGATTTCTCTTTCTCTGTCTCCGTTACATAGATGGGTCCAACCACCCTTCTAAAGAAGATCTCCTCTTCTAATGTACTTACCTGCCCCATCTTATAGGTGGGGAATGCAGCTTAAAGCCCAGAGTCAGATGCCCTAGTGTGAAGGTGTAACTCTGCCATTGGAGACAGCTCAGCATTTCACACAAGCACTCCAAGTTTCTCTGCAGACATCTCTGAGAAAAGTCACTTAGGCTGCATTTATGCCATCTCAAACTGTCCCAAAGTGACTTGCCCAGAGTCACGCAGGATCTCTGTGGTAGGGCAGGTATCACACCCAGGTTTCTCAAGCCCTATCCTAACTCTGTAACTGCTGAGAAATCCCAACGTCCACCTGTCACTTCATTATAGGAAAAAGCACCGAAATCAAATTCACAGGCAGTGAATTCACACACAGCTTTCACCCTGCATCAGGCCAGTTTGAGGTGGCAGGAGAAGCTACAGAAACCCTCGCCACGAGCAGCGTCAACGGCCCAGTTTCCCTGTTGTTCCCAGGGCGAGGTTTTACCATCTTTCGTCTCGGCTGTCTCTGGGTGGCCGTCTGTGCTGCTCCCGCTCTCGGAGGCTGCAGAGTACCTCTCAGATACCTCCACCTGCAAACAGGCACCAGACACAAGCTCTGCAGATGCACGTGACCCGTTCCTCCAGCCAGCACCCGCCACAAGTGCTTTTTTTCCCCCCTTCCTAAATGACGAGGTTCCACCCACTCCGCAGCAGATGCTTTCATGCAGACATCCCCCCCGCTGCCTGCTCACGCTGTGCCTTCCCCATCGTCTCTGAGCCTGGCGTGGGCAGATCCAGCACATGAACCGCCCCGGCTGGGCTCACCTCCGAGGTGACACGGTGGCACCACTGGTGCCACCCTACGGCCTCCTGCCCTGCAGCCTGGCTGGTGGGGTCATTTGCCAGTCCCCAGAGGAGGGCATGGGCACAGGAACTGGCCAGGTGCCCAAAAAGGTCCATTTTTGGTATCCACCGGAGACTTGGGAAGGTTTCTTTCTTCTCCCACGGTTTTGGAACAAGCTGCGCCCAGGGGAGTGCCACCTAAGCCTGGACTAGAGGCTGGCCCAAGCCCTGGCATCCAAGGGTCTATGTCCCTTTCAAAGCTCTTGGTGAGCACAACTGTCCCATGGGATGAGATAGTGGCTGCTGCCCTCTATGGAGGGGAGCCCAACGCTGAGTCAGCTTTGGGGGGAAGATGGGGCAACAAAATTAAGATTGCAAAGGAAAATTAGGATTTTTCCAATAATGCTCCTTTTTCAGCAGAACGGGGTCTGGTTACACTCCTACCAGTCTTTGCTCAGATAAAATTACTGCATCTACAACTATCATTTATTAAAGAAACAGGGTGGAAAAGCCTAAGTGCTAGTTCTCTCTGTAGAGACAAAATGTACCTTTGGGTAACTGAGACGCTGCGAATCTGGGATGTACTGGTTGCCTTCACTGCCTCCTTCGCACAGCACGCCGCTGGTCTCCTGGATTACCTGTGCAGAAGGGGAAGCCGCAGTCTGTGAGACAGCTGTAGTAATGGCATCAGTACTTCTTCCCCACCCAGGACAGGCAAAAAACCGCAGCAGCCTGGGAGAGCCGCGGTTTAGGCTCCCCGCGACCCCGGGGACTTTCCTGGTGTTGCAGCAGGCAGCCAGCAGAAACTGCCGGATCCGAGTCAGCCGGGGAGAGGCTGCCAGCAAAGGCAGCCCCGGCGCCTTGCAGCCCCGCTGCCGGGCTCCGCGAAGGCTCCCTTCTTCTGCTGCCGTCTCAGGGAAAGGGCCGTATCTCCCTGTCCTCAGCCAATTCATGTTGGGCACCCACCCCAGACGTCCCTCCTGCCGCAGCAGCGGGGCTGGGAGGTCCCTCCACGGCCTCCCGCGTGCAGAAGGCGTCGGGGAGCTGCGGGAAGGAGCTATCCTGGGACACGAAAATAAAGCGGCGTATTTGTATACTGGCTTGCAGTGAGGAAGGGAGCCAGAGCACACAAGGACAGGACTGAGATAAGATACGGTCTCCCAGCAGAGGCAGGGTAGAAGCACGGGAGCACCAGCAGGGCAAGCCCCGAAGGCGCCACTGACCCTGAGCCACTGCTCCGCCTGGTCTTTACTCTGCAGCCCCAGCACGATGACATCGGCGTTCGTGGGGATGATCTTCAGCTTGTGCTCTTTCTTCCTCACTTGCTTCTCCTTGTGAATGACCGTGCAGCCCAGCAAATTCACGTCGAGCTGAGGGCTGTGGTCTTTGGAGCTCTTGTAGCACTGGGGAAGGAAGATGGGAGGGCAGGTAAGAGGCTGAGGAGCAGCCTTCCCTCTCGCTTGCTGGTGCGAACTCATCCCTAGAAGTGGCTCAGTGCAACCACATGCATTAAGCGGGCTGAACACAAGAAGGTGCTATAGGTACTACAAGGCTGCAATGTCTACACAGACTACGCACAGGACATCTCTATATGTCTAGAGATACATGCACGTCTACATACATGCGTATATAGTCTGAAATACCTCTCACGGGTAGTGCTAGAGGGTCAAGTATGTGGTTAGCCGGTGGGATAAGCATCCCTTCTGCTTAACCACCTCAAAAAGTTTCCCCAAAAAGCATGTCTAGGCATTTTGGGAGTTTGGGATTTTGGCCACAAATGTGCCCTTGTGCCCCCCTCAGCAGCCCCATGCCCACATGCCTTCTGAAAATGGAATGAAATTCCCAAATCTCTGGGACATGGTTTTTGAAGCATTGCTTCTAGAGGTACTTTGGTTTTGCCAGCTAGTCACATGGCCTGAGGTGCCACTTCCCTCCCCAGCTCATGAAAATAGGTCGTTTTAGGCAGAGAGTGGATGATCTACCCACCAGCAACCTGGTGTCCTTGATAACACACAGCTGTTTTGCCCACTGTCCCAGCCACTTCTTTCTCCACAGGAACGCACAGATGCGGGCATCCTTCATCAGCTCAATGGTGGCCTCTGTGGATGGCCACTGATGGGTTGCTGACTTGCCTTTGCTGCTCTCTTCTTCATCGTAAGATTCATAGGAGCTACTAACGGCTTCACCATCTTCTATAACAAAAGCAAAGCTCTATCATTAAATAAATTTCTAGGACAACTCTGAGCCTATTGCTTGCCTTAGCCATGCTCACGCATGCAAAAGCTTCTGTGAGGGATGTGTCTTTTGAGGCTCTGCTACAAGGAGGATAATCAATAGGAAAATAACCCTCATAGATCCTTTTTTCTTCCTAGCCCAATATTAATCTCATTGCAATGTTTTGTGCCTAATAGTCTCAGTTAGCAAACACTCAAAAGACACTTCTCAGTTGACCACAAATTTGAAAACATTCCATTAGGCATTTTCTGATGTATGCTGCTTTTTTTCCCCCAAAAAAGATGCTTTTTCTACTTTCCACTTCAAACCAAACACTCACAATTTTTAAGGCAACAGCAAGCTACAATCAACCCTTGCCCTCTGAATGTCAGAAATAAAAACGGCATTTGCAAGGCCATGCAGCAAGCAATGATCTACTATATTGATGATAGCATTCCACTTCCCCTCCCTGGGCTAACAGGTCTCTCTCTCTACTCGGCATCTAAGGGACAGCAAGGGGCTTTGAAGCAATACACTGTTGCAGCAGCAAAAATTAGTCATAACTGGAAGCTTAACTGTAAATCACAGTAATCACATTTTTCATGTTCATTCTTAAATGGATTGCTGTGTTATTAGGATGAGTTGGGATTTTCAACACCCCACTCTAACGTATTGTAGGTTGTTGGAGTTTTCAGCTGACAGGAGCAGCTGGTCATTGGTACCAGACTTGTCAGAAACAATGAAAATGTTCCCACTGGCTGCAGGGGAATTTGCAATGCTCTGCTGGTGCTTACAGGACAGCTCTTCTTCACAAGGTAAGCTCACAGAGCAAGACGGTAAGATTTGGGCAGTATCTGTGTAGGGTTTTGCATTCTTGTCCTACTAAACAGCACAGAGAAATATCGTTACGTTTCTCTCACCAGAATTTAATCTAATTTTGATTCTCATCTGTCCTGGTTTCAGCTAGGATAGAGTTAATTTTCTTCCCAGTAGCTGGTATAGTGCTGTGGTTTGGATTTAGGATGAGAATAATGTTGATAACACACTGATGTTTTAGTTGTTGCTAAGCAGTGGTCAAGGACTCTTCAGCTTCTCATACTGCCCTGCCAGCAAGAAGGCTGGAGGGGCACAAGAAGCTGGGAGGGGACACAGCCAGGGCAGCTGACCCAAACTGGCCAAAGGGGTATTCTATACCATGTGATGTCATGCTCAGTATATAAACTAAGGCAAAAGCTGGCCAGGGCCCGCTGCTTGGGAACCGGCTGCGCATCGGTCGGCCAGCGGTGAGCAATCACATTGTGCATCACTTGTTTTGTATATTCCAATTCTTTTATTGTTATTCTTTTTTCCCTTCCTCTTCTGTCCTATTAAACTGTCTTTATCTCAATCCACAAATTTTACTTTTTTTCCCCCTGATTCTCTCCCCCATCCCACAGCAGGCGGGGAGGAGCAGGGGGAAGCAAACTGCTCTGTGGTGTTTAGCTGCCTGCCGGGTTAAACCACATCATCAAATCTTGATATCCACATAAAAGTAACATTATCAGATTGGTGCAAAATAAAAAGAGGAAAAGCAGCCAGAAAAGAGGAAAAAAAAGCATTAGGAGCTTCACTGAAGAGCATTTCTTAAGTTGGGTTTATTTGTATTTAAAATAAAGGAACTGAGATGCAGTAACAAGCTACAGCCTCACTCCCAGTGAAATCTCACTCTAACATCCCTCAAGTGATCAAAGCTGTGCCAATTAAACAAACTCATTAAAAAGCAAATACTCCCTTTCGAAGTCTCTGAACAGTGCTGACAGCACACTACTGGCTCACCATCTCCATACCCCCAACGTATTGGGCTGTCCATCTTTTATGGGAAAACGTTACACCCCTATGCATTATCATTACACAGACCTTTTCCACAGGCACCCTGAGCAGATATTCAGATGGAATAAAAATGTTGAGGTTTCTCATCCCTAGAAATACCAAGAAGCTAGGTACCCTTCCTTATGCAGCAGCAAGGATGCCTAAGTGAACCTCATCTTTTAAATCCCCCTCCTTACCAACACAGGGCTACTGCTAACTGCCCCTCTGGCCCCCTTTGGGTGTCCCTCACCTAGGCATTAGGTCTCAGGATGCCACCTTTCTCCTGGGGGAGTAACACTTTTCTTCCATGCTCTCAGTGGGAGCCCTAGCTGCTCTTTTGTGCATCAGACACAACAAGTGCCTCATGAGATGAGCTCTTCTCCACCTGACGAGCTGCAGCCATTGCTGGTCCAGTGACACTGCTACGGCCTCATGATGGAAGGGCATTTCCCAGGCTGTGCAGTTGGCAAACTGGGACAAACCTTGCTTGGGTGGCTCGTGACAACACTCAATCCCAAGTCATACAGCTCAGGTACTCCAGTACAAGGTCTCCATTTCCACCTACTGGCAGTTTCAACCAAGACCACAGTTTTATCCTCTCATTGCCGTGACATCAGTGGCAGCCACGTTCTTGGATGTCTTTAATCCACCTCTGCTTCCCTGTTTGTCTTCCCACAACCTCCCAGGGAGCTAAATCCATACCATGATGCGGGAAGCCCCAACCGCCTTGTACGACAGAGCTGCCTCTGCCTGAGCGGAGCAGCTTCAACATTCACTGAACGGCTACTTGTCAATACAGCCAGCGTTACCACATATCAGCTCCACATCAGTGACCAGAACCAGGGGAATAAAGGCTAGGGAAGTTCTCTTCATTGTCATCTTGAGCGCGGGGAAAAGCACAAAAAAAATGCCGCCTTGCATACATCCAGCACAGGCAGAGAGAGGGGAGAGGTACGTAATGGGCAATGCCAGGGGGAGGCACCTGATCATCTTTGCTAAAACCGAGTTGTTGTTTTGTTTTTAAAAAAAGGCACTTCAGGTTTGGAAAGCATGCCATACCCATCGTTATTGTGGCATAAATAACGCCCTCAGTAACCTGCAACCCTGGCCTGGGTCCAGCCGCAGCAAGCCTACCAAAAAGACCTGCACAGTCAAAAGGAAAGAGAAAGGGAGACAAAGAGAGAAAGCCACAGATAAGCAAATGTGGAGAACAAGGGCGTCAGTCCAGCTCAGCCCCGCGCTCCCCCCTCGGCTGGCAAGGCTGCCCCGTCCCTGCTGCCAAAGGAGGAGCATGCCATACAGTGAGACTTCAAACAGGGGCAACGTTTTCAACCCATCCCCTCAAACAAGGCAATTCCCTTTAAAACAGAATCATCGTCATCATAATTAAAATCAGCCAGGGCAGATGAGCTGTTTCAGCCAGAATAATTATTGCTCAGTTGGCAGTCATGTTGCCCCTTGTGTTTTCACTCTTTCTTATCGCACCCTTCAATTATGCAAATGCAGATGAGGATGAGGATGATAACGGTTTAACACATTTCAGCCCAGGAGGAAAGGGAAGCAGCAGCATTTGCTAGAGCTGTAAAATGAAAGGCAGAGGCATCCCCACCAGAGGGACGGGAATCCTGCTGATGAAAGAGGGACCCCAGAGACCCCATGGTCTCGCCCGCCTGCTTCATTTTAATTAATTCACCCATGGTTTGTTACAGTGCCTCGCAGTCCCACCTCTGACGCTGCACAAATCCTCTATCTCCTCAGCCCATCTGGAGGCTTGCTTTGATGTCCTTTCTTGGCAGTACACCCACTAATTTTAGTGGTGTTCCTATTTTTGTTTGATTTCACTACACCCATTTGTTTGGAGACACATGGGTGTCTTCCAAGGCTCGTGCTGCAATTCTGCCATAAACACCATCAGCAGCTCCCTGGAACGCCGGCCCCTTCCCTACCCAGCTTGTGGGGAGAGGGGGGTGAGCACAGAGAGTTTGGGGGGTTCCTGGGGTCAGGCTTTAGCATCTTTAGCCAGGGCAAACCTATGCACGTCCAGACTGCCCTTTAGCAACAGCAGTCACACCAAGGTCTCGAGACAGTTACTAGCAATGAGCATCACTCCACGTAGGACAGGTACAGGGTACTATTGCCATCTGATCAGGCGAGGGAGGGGAAAAAAGGGATAGGGACCCCCAGTTTTGTACTTGTTGAACCAACAGGCAGGACTGAGACCTGCAGGTTTGTCCACGTGCCGTGGGATTTGAAGCCTGATCTCAAGGCAAACTGGGGCACCAGCAGCTTCCCAGCATCTTCCCAGCATCACTGCCAGACGTCCCCTCTGCACAGCACACCTCGCTTCACCCTCTCCTGAGCCCCTGCAGCCGCCTCCTGCCACATACCTGCTGCTCCACATCTCTCCCTCCTCCTCGCTCACCCCAAGGCACCACCTCCAACACGAGGTTGCCAAAAAGCACAGACATTCCCGGTGACACGGTGCTGCCTTCCTTCTCACGCAAACCACCGTAAAAGCCATCGGCGTTATAGCACGCCAGGTGGTTTGTGTAGAAGAAGGGACCTGCTGGGGCCTGCAGAGGGGACCCCTGGTTGAGCAGTCACAGGAGGCAACGGCACCGCACAGCTCGGCGGCGAGGGACTGCCTGGACTTGCACGTCCCATCTCTGCTCGCTTCACAGCCTCCTATCTCCACTTACAGCTGCGATACTGCTCAGTAAAACACCGAGCCTGCTAGTCAAACAGCTATTCCTAGCAGCCACAGACTGCCCCACCGGCACCCAGAACTACCTCGTTTTGACAGTGCTCCAATCATACCAGGGTTTTTTCTCGCTTTTTTGCAAGGCTCTGATGTCTCGTTTCCTTAGGCATCTGACTGGCCTGGATTTCAGTGGATGGTGGGTGTATCTGCATCTTTGAGCAGCAGGTTACCAAGGAAAAGAAGAGGTTTAAGCAGGGTGTGTGCTTATCGCTCCTGCCAGCCAAGGCTCCGAATACAACGTGAGTTTATGGAGCTGCCTGGATAACATAACCTGGGTTTCCCAGCACACGGATCCGTGGCCTTACTCCAGCTAATCCGGTGTATGCCTTTACGTGCCATGGCTCTTAGCATGTTATCCACTTTCCCAGTGTGCAGCAGGGGAAAAAAAAGTTCATTTATTATCTTGCAGTGCAGGCAACTGGAAATCCTCTGTGGGGAGGAGGCTGCAGGGACCTGTGCTGCCCCAGCTGCAGGAGGGCTTCACCCCCCTGCACCTCGCACATCGCAGCCCTGACCTCAGCCAAACAGCCCAGAGCGTTTTGGCAAAACCAAGCTGGCACCTAACTACACGTGGCAGAGCTAGGGAGACCTCTCCTCCACATGTTTCGCCCCAGCCGCGATGAGCCTGCACCTTTTCCCACCTGAGCTGGGCACCATCTTCCTGTTCAACACTGTAATGCGGTTGCAGCCAAAATGGGATGGCTCAGGGAAACGAAGGTCTTTCTACATCTCCCTTTTTTGTTTAGCGCTGTAAATCCTAAGCCTTCATGAGAACAGCATCCCACACGGAGATACGAGCTGTCCAGGAGCGCGAGGTACACGCGTGCAGCGAGGGCTGTTCGGATACACCAAGCCCCGGCCGCTTCAAGCGGTGGCACCGCTGGTGCTTCCCTGCCAGGGAGCTTCAAAGCCCCATGGTGCTGGAGAGGACTCAGCTTCCCTCATAAGCAGCTCAGATTCAACGACCAAGGGTTGAGATCAAAATCTTTTACCCTTAACTCTCACTTCTTTGCTTGCCTCAATTCTCCCCTCTCAGCTCTGCCCCACGCCACGTACATTATTGTACCCACCTCTGCTGCAGTCAAGGCTGATGAGCAGAGATCTGCTTCTGCAGCAGAGCTATATAATCCGTCTCATTCGGGCTTAAATGGATTATAAAGCGATGACAAGATCGGCTCTGCTATCAGATCAGAGGAAGGTAATCTCTCACAAAGGGTGTTCACCAAAAGAAGGATGCAGGAATACATCTTAAAAAGCGAGAATGTGGGAGCTCAGCCTGCGTGCAGCAGTCTCGTCCCAAAGGTGTGGGGAGCCCACTGGTGACAGGTATGGGTGGCACTGCTGGGGACATTGCCGGGAGGTGCCGACCCAGGCAGCAAGCGAGTGTGTGCCGAGGGAACCCACACACCATCCCCTCACATTAAGTGTGGCTTTTTAATCAAGTTTACAGATGGTTAAACTGCCACAAGAAACAGAGCTGAATAAATAGCCAATTATAAAAACGGTTATCACGTCTAACAGACCAACAGAGTCATGGATTTTGAGCCCCAAAGGGATGATTAGAGCACTAGGACATGAATGCAAGCCACCACAGCTCCACCACTCACTCCTGAATAGAAACCCGCGTTTGACTACTGCCTATCTGCCAGAAAACCATCAAGACAAAGAGGACCCCCAATGGTTTATAACATTTTACAGTGATTTCTTATTTCTATACTACTTATTTCTATAGGAAAGTTAACAATTTGAGTAATTCAGTAGCCTTTTCTTTCCAATAGCATCAGATCTGAAATATCAGTGTGACCAGCATCAGAAAACAAATTTGTCACACAAGCTGTAAGAAGTGTCCACGCTTTTGTTTACTTGTTCTCATAAACCTCAAGTCCTTCATCTCCCACATGAACCTCCCCCCCCGGAGAGTTAGCGGTGATATACCATTTACAGAGACATCATATGGCTCAGCCTCTTCATAATATCCCTCTGGGGATTCGATCTTGGGGACCGGAGGTTGTTTTGTTTCAGGAATCTGCAGAATAAATAAAATAAGGATGATTTAAGGTAAAAACAGATCCTTGAAAACAATGGAGCATCGGGGTTTTTTTAGCACTAAAGTCTATCCTAGTGGATATCTTTTAGATGTGTACACCAGGATTTTCACATAAACTGGTTGAGATGACGGGGAAGAGAGAGACTGCTGAGGGTTTCCAGTGTACAGTCAGCTCAAATATAAAGGAGTTATTCAAAATTACTGTATAATTGTGTCATAAATGTTATTTTCTTTAATATTGCTGAAAGCCCTGGGAAGATCAACTCACAGGTTTCCTCAAAAGCAGCAATTGCAACCCATTGGCCTTACCATGAACTGGGACTTCTGCCCGCTGCACCAACCCCCACAAGCTGCTCGTTGTAACTGGAGATGATCTGCTGTGCTATTGATTATCGTAACAGGGAACCAGAAGGGCCAACATTTGGTGCAATCCTGGCTTTACACTGACAAGCATAGCCTGAGCGGTCGCTGGTTGTGTCTCCAAGTCTCTGACTGATAGCAAACCAACAGCTAAAAATCTCCACTTCAGGAACTCTATCAGGAATCTTTAATTGTGCTCTCAGCAAAAAATGAAGTAAATGGATAAACAACACTGATGGAAAATAAGTCTTTGAAAAGAGTCCAAGTGCTGGAAAATCCCTGTGGTGCCTGCCAAACCCCTCCCTAAACACAAGCAAGGGCTGGCAGGAAAACCAGCGCCTCGATCCTTTAGAAATACCAACACGTGAGAAAAAAAAAAAGGCGGGGGGGGATCTAAGGAACAACCTTTTTACTTTTAAAGTAATTCACATAGCTGTTGAACGTGAGACAGCAGAGCCAGAGATCACAGTAGGATGAGCACACAGCTCACGCTCTTCCCAAAATATGTGGCATCCCACCTCCCATCAGGACCCGACAGGAGCATCTCGCTGTTCCCCAGTGAAATGTTCCCTCTCCTCGCCCAGGTCACACCATTCCTGGTCATCTGACAACGGTATGCTCTGGCTCACAATACCTCAAAAACTGGCTTCTGACCGAGACCTGTGCAAATCCTAGATAGGATGGTCAGTGCGTGCAGGGCTAAAACCCCACTCCTCTCAGGAGGACAGGCAGAAGAGCAGGTCTCTCCCTGTAGAGGCAGCAATGTTGAACGTCACAGATCATGCAAGATCCTTCATGCCAGCCCACATGATTGCTCCTGGTGGCCTGAAGAAGAGAGGCCAGCTGGGCACGAGCATTGCAGAGCAGTCTAAGGCAAGATCAGTCCCTTTGCAGGTCATGCCAGCATCATCCAATGCAGGTGCGAAGCTGCCCGTCCTGCCCTGTATATTTCCACCAACAGGTACTGCTGCCCAGAAGCGGAAGCTTTGAAGGAAAAGATTTTCTGGCCAGCAACTGCCCACAAAGGGGGATGCCACTGAGCCTGTGGGAGCTAGGTACCCTGACCGCGCTGGCCAAAGTCACACATCTCTGCTCCCACAAGGGTGAGCAGCCCGTGGCTCTGCCAAGCTCGCAAACTTCTCAAGTGTCTTGGACCAAAACTCCTTCCTATGTGGGTCTGCCAGATGCTGTGAGCAGACTCTGAGCTTGCTTTCCAGAGCCACGTAGGACACACTGCTGGAAAACACTTGCCTCCAAACACTTAAAGGTTTAGGAACTTGTCCTAATGTGTTAAATTAAAGAAACAAAAACAAACCCAGCCACTCCAAAGCTTTACTTAATCCCTTCCCTGACCAGGGAATGTGTCTGCAACTGCCATCTGTGGTGGCCTCCTGCCTGGAGCCAGCTCACGTTGTGCTACGACCATAAACAAATTGCCTACACAAAGAAACGCTGTGGGTTTATTTGACACCATCCCACAAGTGTCCAGGAAGGAGCGGGGCGGGAAAGGGGCTGCTCTGTTTTGTTTCCTACAGACAATGGAAGCCAACAGGGACTAGGTGGGACTGCACCTCAGCTGCCCCAAAAGCTATTTTTTTCTCTTCTCTTTCCTTAAAAGGCATGGAGTTGTTTTGTCTCTAGCTTAAGTGAAAGAGTATACACTGTGTTATCTAACCCAGGCTGGCCCTTGCAGAACATTTGCCTGTTGCATTACGGCACAACAGAGCATGCAAATAAAACCATCTTGGGCATCTGCATCCACACCCGTGACTTTCTCAGTGGATGGCTGCAGAAAGCGGCAGAGCTGCCAGGGCTACCGCAGAGGAAAGGTCACTGATGTCTGAGCCACAGCCTGCAGGACTCATTGTTTGAAGGTTGCTTTGGGACAAATCCAAAGAAATTAGTGGGATCCAGCTGGGCCACCCCTGTTGGGTTGCCCATTGACTGCTGGTGTCAGTGAATACCAGGAACAATCTCCTGTGCAGAGCTTCATCACCAAATTTCTCCTGTGCCTCAAAAGACAAGTGTAGAACAACACCACAGGGTGCCTTAACATCACCAAACCACGGAAAACTCCACAGAGCTAAAACAGATATACTCTGAGTCCTCTCCTAACCTCCCTCTTTCTGTGTAAAGAGTTGTGCTCCCTCCTCCACCGCCCACTGCCCACACCAGGAACAGCCAACACGGACAGGGAAGATTCATTTCCCCACAGCAGCAATTTCCACACACCTTTAATGTGGGACCACATTAAAGGTCTCCCCAGCCCCACTCCTTGAAGTATACTCAGACATCTTTGCTGCCCGCAGCTCACCGACACTCAGATGCTCACAGTGAGGAGGTGCTTGATTGCTTTATCCAAGAGGGGTTAGCTCCAGCGGTACGCACGTGGGAGAAGGTAGTTCCCAGCCCAGGGAGAAGACGGGTGGCTTAGGTACCCTTCTCTGCTAAAATCCAATGCTGTTTTTTTTCTAATTCCCTCAATCAACTTCCTCATTTCCCTACAAGAAAGCTGGGCTGCACCAAGCACAAGTAGAGATGCTTTGGGGAAACCCAGCTGCCGCTTCCCCAGTCGTGCCTTCATTCCACCACACTGCCATCCTCCTGCCCACCTCCCTGCCACATCCACCACCCCCTCCGGCTTTGAGAAACCCAAAGCCAGACGGTGATTCCTGCTCTGGTCGCTGCTCCTAGGCGACTCCAGCTCCAGCACCGTATGGCTGGCTGCGTGGGCAGACCCCCCCGGGGCTGGAGCAGCTCCCAGCAGGCAACTGCACCGCGTCCGAGGGTTTGTCAGCTATATCCCATCCTACCCCCTCGTTTTCCCAGCTCCTCCAGCTAACTCCAGCTGAGCCACACAGCCTCCCGGGCAGAAGCCCTGGGGCCTCACCCCATGTCCTCCTTCCTGGGAAAGGAGCAGATCCTCCTCGATGGTTGAGGGATGCACCACCCCATCCTCCTCCACGGCTCCCCCTCCTCCCCGTGCACGCTCCCTGCCCTCCTTTCCTTTCACATCCCGAAATCCCAGCTACAGCGATTCCCACGTTGGATCAACTACCGAACAGCAATGTCCAGGGTCTCAAGGATGACCCATGTCTCTCGAGGACAGCTGGGCTGGCTTGCTGGCACGCTGGCACAGAGACAAAATCCCACTGAAAGCTGATGGTGAACTGGACCTCGGCTAGATTTATAGTTGCCCTACAGAAAAATCTACAGCGCCAGTGACTCCTCCTCGCAGACCTGTGGGCTGTACAACCAGCATAACGCCCAGCACGGTCACCCAATGCACAGACAATACCAGGCACTTCAACTGGAAGCAAATCTGATCTTCTCTGCTAGTGACCAAACTGTGTGGGGCTCTGCCAGCAAACGAGATCCTGGCACTGCCCAGGGACAGCCCCACCACCCCACAGCTGAAGGGTTTCTGGCTTTTATAAGTTCACGTCAGCAGCCCAGGCACAGCTGCTTTACAGTTCAGGGGAGATTTCCAAAGTAACAGTTGAGAGCCATCATCACCTTTGTTTCTTTGAAAACCTCAATTCTCTTCTTTCAGCCTGGATTGCCATGCGATGGGTGCAGGCTTCCCTGGCAGGGAACACAGCCCATTTCACGCAGTGCTCCTGCACACGCATGGGAAGCCCAAGGCTCCCACAGCTGCCTGCTCCATCTGTGCATGAGCTTTGGGAACCACAGGGGTTTCTGCATGCCCAGCCACCCCGGAGCACGGCCACCCTGCCTGGGCCACCAGCCAGCCGCAGCGCCTGCACCAGCCACACACTGCCCTGCAGTGTTCATAAAGACCAAATGTACAGCTGGAAACCTGTACACCAGGGAGCCCCTAGTTGCGTATTTTATTTTTAATTTTTTTTTTTTTTTTTAAATAAAGCTTACCAGGACTATTTGCCTCACTAACATACATGAGCAAAGGTCTCTCCATTTAGTCATGCTGCACAACACATAACAGTGAAGCCTCAAGGGGTTCAGATCCCCAGGCTGAGGGCTAAGCACTGAAAAGCAAAGGACTTGCAAAACATACCTTTGGAGGGGGGAGGTCCGGCAGGCTCTTCTGAGGAGGGGATAAATGCAATCCTGAGTCTCCATTGGTCAGGGAGTTTCTCCGATCCAGCGCTGCAAGCCAAAAACACAATTATATCAATGACGTGGCATTTCCCAGCAGAGCACTCGCTACCCAGGGCTGTGCAGGAACAGTGAGGTGCTATTTCGGTAGGAAGCAGAGTGACAATTACAGGCAGCGCTGCAGGGCCACCATGTCATTTCAGGCCATGCCCAGGAATGTGGCGTTAGGAGACCCAGCAAAAGAGCTGGCCTCTGGTTTTAGGGCATGTTTATCCTTCTGGATGGAAAACTGCGAAGCCCAGACCTACTGCTGAAACTTTAAAGGGTCCTGAGAAGCAGCATGGGCAGACACTACACAGTATCTGGAAATCCACAGCACTTTTGTCCTTGCTAGCTCTGATCCCTGCTGCCGCAAGCAGACAGCTCAGTGACTGTCCCCACCTCTGCTGCCTTTCCAGAAAACTGGAGCTAATGCCACCCTGCTCCCAGACCGAACTGCAAAGGTTGCTGCCTAGCTGGGCTGCACAATGGTTTATCAAAGCCAGACAACAACAGCAATTTAATTGCTATTGAAGGAAGAGTTGCTCTTGAAGCAGCTCAGGCCAAACATGTGAAAGGGCATATGGCAGCAGAACTGCTCCAGGCGATCTGCGTCTGCCTCCGGAAAGACAGATTTTTCCAAGCAGCTGAATGCAGAGTGATTCAGTAGCTGGAGGGTACGTTGAAGGCTCAGAAAACTTGTGTTCAGTCCCTCTTCCCCCACCACAGAACTCCTGGGTGGCCTCAAACAAATGCCCAAATCCCACGACCTCTGAGATAGCGCAATGCAGCAATGCTCAGGAACAAGTGGGAGCAAGGCACAAACGGCTGAAAAATGAAGGACTTTGAAGGCATTATACTGTGCAGAGGGGAAGTCCCCTTTTACAGTGTCTCTTGCCAAATACCTTGGGAGAAGTGAGGCTAAGGTATCCAGATATTGCAAGTCCAGAAAATTAAGTGAGGGAATTAGGTCCAAAACCTGCAGCAAGTTGATGCTCCAGCTCCCTTAGTCACCTGCTGATGCTCCAGCCACATTCCTCGGGCACACACAGAAACCGGCAGGGCATCGCGCAGTGCCCAGCAGCGGTTAGCACTGTGCTGAGAAGACGTGGGCAGGAACTTTGCTGCATATTTCTGGGCTTTAAAAATAGAAGCTGGAAACCACATTGCTTTGTTCACGTCTGGGGCTTGGAAGCCACAATGACAGCTCTGCCCTGCCATGCTGCAGCCAGCTCCTGGCCTGATGGCGCAAGAGCCCAAAACACGTCTCTTGTGACAAATCACTCCCTGTAACGCAGGTCTCCTGGTCACCAGCACTGGCTAACTTCAGTAAGTCAGGAGGACAAGGAGATCCGGGATCAATAGACACCAACTCTCAGCAGCTGTCTGCACCCCGCAAGGACTGCTGGATGTCTTGTAAGGTTCAACCAGAGTAAAGTAGGTGAGCCTATGACACAGATTGATCGTGGGGAGATCCATCTACCAAAATACCCCATGATTGTACTGCCAGAGTCATATCTACGGGCTGCTGTTAGAGGTTGGCCTTTTCTGTAAAGGACCAAGGAGATGGCACTCGCAGAGCACACAGCTTCCATCAACAGCAGCTGCTGAGGCCGTTGCTACTTTTGGAAACACCAGAAACGAGGTTGAGATTTCCCAAATCCCCAGTGGGCTACTCCCCAGGGGGGGATTATGTCCTCACTCATGGTTGTCCACACAGTTAACTTTTTAGGGGCCCCTTTAGCAGGGAGAAACAGACAGGCCAACTTGCATCCTCCTGCATCACGCAGAACCTCCCATGCTCGGCTCCACAGAAGAGAAATCATTGCAGCAGCAAAACCCACTGCCAAGCCCTTCACAAGTGGTGGCCATCTGTTCTCGACTCTTCAGCAAACCTAGCAATCATCCCACCGAACCTCACCGTGCCAGGAAAACGCTGTTTGATTTCTGTACCAGCAGTTCATCCTCCTCCCACCAACCTTGGAGCACAGGATGGAGACCACAGCTTCGGTCCTCACCCTGCTGGAAACCGGCCCACCTCCGTGGACACATGCCCATGTGCTCCAGCTGAGGAGCAGAGCAGGATGTGATGGAGCTTTGATTTTCAGGCTCCGTGCAGGAAGAACCACCCCTTTAACCTTCATCCTGACAAGACCCCTGGGAGGTGTTACGGTGTTTTCTGTTCTGAGGTTGCAGAGGGCAGCTATCGCTGTGCTCAGCATATGGGGACAAGCACCTAATGCACGCTTTCTGTATGGAGAGCCCACACAGCACGTGCTGTACGTACCCCTTCCTTCTCCTGCTACACACGTCAGCACCACAAATCACAGACTGTTTCCCTACTGGGGTGGGAGGGAAGGAGTACTTCTTACTAGACAAGCGTTAACACTTTGTAGGTGTCTTCTGATAAAGATGTCTCTAAAACCTGGAATTTGGAGAGAATTTAGAAGAGGGAAGGAAGCAAGAACAGGCAAAAGCCTGCTAAAACTTGCATCTGTACTGTTACTTATCTGTGCTCTGCATTCTTTGTAAAAGTGAATGTCTCCTGGTATTTAGGCTAAGGACCGCAGTGTGCACCACCGGGAGCCCTACACTGTGCATCAGTCCCACCTCCCAGACTCCCGCACCTCAATCCCTCTGTGCCAACTGAGATGGCATTTGGCTAACTGAAGAGCCCCATGGACTTTCAGGGTGGAGGCTTGCTGTGTTCCTCAAGTACAATGAGATCAAGTAAATGATGGTGCCTTCATCACTCACTGCAGTGAATTCAATTACTGTGCCATAAAAAGGCACCTCAAAAGCAGCATACTGTTCAGCTTAAATCCTTACCAATGAAATTTGAAGTAGATACAAGTGAGCAGTGAAATATGGGTTTTGCAGAAATAGCATATTTTAAGGTTTGGAGGGGGGACTTTTGGAGCTGATGTATTATCACTTTGGAAAGCATTTCACTCTGTGCTGCTAGAGCACACTTGAGCACAGCTACAGTGGTGAAGAAACCCTGCAGGGCACAAGAGGTCCTGTTGGCCTCAGCCACAGTGTGGTCACCACGTCCCATCAAAAGCTTTCAGTGAAACAAAGTGCATGGAGCGGCAGCAGATAAAGGGGTGAAGGGAGCTGCATAATCACCGGGAGATCCATAGCACACCCCCCAGCACCAGTGGGTACCAGGGCCCCCTCCATCTGCTGAACCTGAACCTGTAGGTCCCACCACTGAGCAGAGAGGCACAGACCTCCCCATCCAGTTGCAGAGGCAGGATCAGGGCTGTACACCCAGCTGCAGCTATGGCTAAGATCCCATACATGTGTCTCACCGACTTCAGCATTTCCAAGTAACTCAGAAGTTTTACTTGGAATAGGGAGGTTGCTGAAAATGGAGAAAGAGAGAATTGCCAGGTCCCACGGGGAGCAACTGAGTGGGTAGGCTCACGGCCTTGATAGGGAAAAATCTGAAATAAAAGCACCAACTCTAGACATAAATCATCTGAAATTTGCCCCCGTGCTTCAGCATGGAGGATCAGTGCAAGCCTTGTTTTATTCACACAAATGAGAACCTGTATAAAGAGATATTTCTGTTGCTGCTCAGCTGCTGGGAGCTAGCCGGAGGCTGTGCAATCCTGTTATAGAGCATTACAGCATCACCCAGAAGGCCCTGGCTGGAGATCACACTGGGGCTGCATGTGTAATCTGGGAGGACATCCTGTCTTCAGGGGTATTTGAAGTTAACCTAAATTCAGCTGCAGGTAGTACAAAAAACCCAAAACACCCCACCGCAAAACAATAAAACCAAACCAAACAACTCTGGAAGTGGAGCTATAACTACTGCAGGACCAGCACGTCAACAGCATGCTGCACTGATGCATCCTCTTGTCTCATCTATTTGGATTGAAAGCTTTGGGGGAGGGTCAGCCTCTGACTAGGTCTGCATTAAGGAGATGTGTGTCACTAAATCTCACTCTATGCAATTATCAAAACCAGCTTTTGTGATGAACTTCAAAGAGCAGGAACATTTTTAGACAATTATGTTCTTTGCCATGTTACAAATTCAAACGCTGGGAAATCTAAATGAATATTTTATCTACGTTTAATTTCTTGGCTTGTACACTGCAGAACTCTCGCATCCCCCAGGAGATGAAGGTGCTCTGCCCACGCAGACGGTGAGGGTGCAGGCTGCACCCATGAACTCGCCTCACAAGGTTGTGAGGACGTGGACCCTCTGGGCTAGTGCAGAACAACATGCTAAAGACGACATGCTTTCAAGGTCTCAAAGAGGTGAAGTGACTTGTTTTGTGGCCAAAGGAAACATGAGGGCTTCCTTAAATATTTCAGGCACTGGAGCTTCAAGCCTTAGAAGGCAACATTTTTATCCCAAAATAACGCCCTCCAAAGTGCTACTTTTCCAGGAATAACCCCACGGTGTTGGCAAGGACCACTATTTCTAAGGGAACGTTATGAAGATGGCAGTCCTTCCACACCGTCAACTGCCTCAGCCCTCAGAGCTGCCAGAGGAGCCTCCACCGGTAAAGCAAGGCTCTAACCACGTGTGCCTTCAACACCCCACTAGACATGATGCAACCATTAATCTTCAGCTCCCTACCTTTGTCTTGTTTCTCCTGGTCACCCTGCTGTTTATGGATGGTCACTTTGTTCATATAAATATATTCCTCATCACCACCTGCAACCAAAGGGAAGAGTGAACTTTTTAACCACCCGCTGCTTTCACGTTGCTAAGTTTTTCCACAAAGACAGATGTAAAATGTGTCTCTGCTCAGTACATTTGGGGAGAACATGTTGGTTGAGGCAATGTGCAGAAAAAAACCCAAGCAATAATAAAAAGCAGAAAAATTAAATGCTTTATAGTCAGGAAATTCCATAAGTTAAAATTTCTACTTAAACATTAACTTCGCCAAACAGTACATCCTGTGTATCTTACAAAGTGGATTAAATAAACTTAAGGTTTAATAAGGAAAACAGAAAGGATCAGGAATCTTGGGAATCCTTTGCTTGTAAAGCTGGACACATAACTATAGTAATTTTACATAAACAATTTGAGGTCACTGCAAAAATAATCTCCATTTCATTTTCTCCTTTTAATTTTCATGTCTCCCCTTCCCACCAGCCTCCAAGAAAATGTTGCTTCAAGACCCCGTAGCAATTCCCACGAGAGCCCACCACCCCGTTCTTGGTTGTCCTTGCCCATACCACTGGACTTGGTGTAGACCCGCAGAAGGTCGGAGAGGAAGCTCTTCTTCACAACAGCAGTGCTGCTCAAGTTCTCCTTGTCCAGTATCCTCAGAAAATCTTCAAGTTCTGTGAGCAGCTGCTCGAGAGCTACAACAGCAACAGGGACAATCGTTGGCAAAGCAGTTGGGTGGCATGTCAAAAGAGGACATACATTAATGCTGTATTTTCCAAGATCCTTCGTATTTTTCTGCCCAGGAATAATTAATATTTCATTTTCCAGCTTGAACCCTCCCTCTAGTTTTGAAAAGAAAGTGGGTCCCAAAACCAAAAAGCCTCCAGCTTCCCTTAGTCTGTTCATACATCAGTAAATTCCATGTAAATACCTATTCTTTTTGCTCAAATGGGGAAAGCCTGGAGGGATTTTGAGCATTAGGCCTGAGATTACACAAAAGCAACTAGCAAGTTCTTGATACTTGCATCCTGAGTCCCAGCAAACATCATTCAAACCTCATTTGGATTGGGATCTACCAAAGACGCTGCTTTTTGCTTCCTTTTTCCAAGCCTCTCCTTATTTCTCTCTCTGTAACAATTTGAAAATGTTTATGTGTGTCTCCCAAAAAGAGACAAAAAACCCACCACCCCCACCCCCCCCCATACATAAATCATAATTCAGTATCTTCTCAAGCCATCTTGCTTGGGTAGTGACCACAGAGATCGTCGTACCACGTGGAACTGAAACCCAAGACCGAGCAGCATCTCAGACAACCTCAGGAAAACCTGCCATACCAAAGACATCCCCCCATACCCGCAACAAGCGACTCGGACACGCCGCTCCCCAGCACTGGCAGCTGAGCCAGGCTAATAGGTTTGTTTTCCTCCTGAGGAGGTGCTACTCAGCTCTGCCACCGACAAATCACTTCTCCGACGGAGCTCACGCTGAAGCAACAGGCATTTAATTGCTTGCTTTTGTTCACACTGAAGTTTATCATGGGCTAATTAGCAGCAGTGGCAGGAGCCTGTTCCAGGGAGGAAAAAACAGAGTATTATGCGGAGAGAGGAAGCGCTGCACAAGAATGATGGTGTGTGGGAAAAGCACAGAAAACTCAGCCAGGGCTGTTCCTCCCCTTTGGAGGCTCCCCTGCTACCCCACTCCATCGCCCCCCGATGCTAAGGAGCTGCGGGGCAGATGGGCAGCAAAGCTTAGGTTTGCCACTGCCAGGCTGCAAACCAGGCTGTGATTCCTCAGCACACCATCAAGGAACATGACACATGGAGAATTTAACTGGGGCAATTCCCTTCACTTACAGCATTTCCATGCCGTGTGTTCCCGTGGTACCCTGTGAGTCACAGTTCACACCCATGAACTACAAAAGCGTTAATATTTTGGTTTCATAGTGCAAAGCGCCTGAAGCAGATCTAGTTTAAGTGGTACCACCTCCAAGGTCAAAGAACATTTGTGTAAGAGCAGAAGAGAGTCATCACCTTACTCCCCCATCTTTAGCCACCAGGCAACCCTTCCTTGGGTGAATACATGTTAGAAGACCGATAAATAAACCATAAATTATACTGTAAAGGTTTATGTTGCTAGCCATTAATTGAAAAACATGCTACTGCTCTCAAACTGTATTAATCTCCACTAGCTTGACTGTAAAACAGTCTAATGACTCCAGATCAATCAATAACGGCTCCAGAGGAACCTACCAACTGGTAGTTCTTCACACTTCGTTTTATACCCTCTACACCCAATTAATTCTCTTCTCGCCTGATTTGGGACCAGTAGAGAACGGAAAATGCCTGCATCATGCTGTGTTAACTGGAATGATTTTGCTAGCTGCTGTTTTGCCCAGCTATAACCCACTGCAACCCAGAGAAAGCAAGAATCATTTCAAGAAACAACAGCTTTTTTCAAAAACTGTAAGGAAACGGGTAGTATTTGTTGACAACAATAGTAGATGCCACTGATATCACTAAACAATGACCTGTGAGCATTTGGTGTCAAACACACTCATAACCGGCATCTCTCAAGCTTCAAGGAACCTGCTGCTTTAAGGAAACTCCACTGGGGTAAATCACAGCCTTGCTATACTCACTCATCTGCTTCAGTGGCGCACTTCAGAAAGTTTAAATTGAGGTCAGTTCCTGCTGGTCAGGCCTGGCGGACAGGACATTTATGTGTCAGGAACGATAGCAGAAGAAACAAAACAAAAAATACCTAACCTTAATTTGAAGCTTCAGAAGCGACTCAGCTCCCAACAGCTGCCCACATGGATGTCACGATACCGGGTTTGCAGGGAAGGGGCTATAATTCCCATTCCCTCCTCCACCCCCATGACTGCAAAAAATGACTTTATTCTTCTCCCAGGCATTCACAGCTAGCACACACACAGGGCTGAGTGCTTATGAATAGCACAGCCCATACAGTAGGTTACATTTTCCAGCCCACCAAAGCTGAATTCAGGCTTCTAGTGACTCAAAGCAACTCATTTAGGACACGATCCTGGGGCCACAGAGGTCAGTGGAAAGAGTCTGTCAGGCTTCAATGGATTCAGACTTCAGGGACTCAAGAGGGATTCATTTTGCTCTTCTTCAGCAAGAAGCAGCATATAAAGCATCTGCTTCTATGCAAGCATTTCTTTGATCTCAGCTGGACATTCCCAATACAAACCTGATACCTGCAAAAATAAACTGCCATTGAAATGAATGTGACCATTTATTCTCTCATTTCGGAAGGAGAACAAGCTAATACTTATTGGAGAGTGATGAATGTGAGAAGTAAAAAGAATGAATACAATGAGGGTAAGATACTTGCGCAAGCAAGTATCGCAGCAGGTCCCAGCAGGTCAATAGGACTAAAAACAGCTGAGAGCCCATGTACTTCAAACCATCTCAGGATTTCAAATGCTGGAAACCACTGCTTGATCTCAGCTAAAGACCTATCATGCTGTGGTGATGATGTACTGAACATGCTCATGGCAAAACCAGGTTGGTGGTTATCCAAAGCAGCCCGAAACAAATGGCTCTCCCTCCAAGCTACGTTGTATTGCTCTCCTTATCTTAGCAGTTTAGAAATGAGAGCACATGAAGAGATGATTCCTGTAACTAGGCTTGCTCTGCAGGGCAGTAGTTACAGATTCAAGGAACGTGTTCGCAAAATCTGGGAGCTGTGAGCAGCAGGATGAGAGATCAGAAGTAGACAGAAGTCCAGTTCACAAGGCAGTGCAATTCTCAGAGCTGCTTTTGAGAAACCTCCTTCCACAGCTACATTACTCTTCTCAACTTTCATAGCACTTCTTTGTGAAGCCCTAAGTACAATGTGACTCAAGTAATCTTTCTGGCACCATCTCAAATAAATATCTCCACAGCACTTGCAAAAAATTCAGCCTACTTAATGGAAAACAGGAGATCAACTCTAAGGTTAAGGTTGACCCAGAAGAATTAAGAGACTTGGCCAAATGTCACTGTGAATACCTCTACTGAATCCAGTCTTCTCAAGCCCCACGATATGATCTACTCCATCTCCTTACAAAGCATGGCCACAGATATGGTGTACCGTTAGATAGCACAGCACAGCTCATATCATGCTCTTCTCCATAGCCACAGGCATCAGTCACTGGATAAAAACCACAAGGATTTCAAAACAGACAATAAAGAGACGTGTAGAAGCATCCTAGTCAATGGAAAACTTGATTGATTTGCATCTGTAATGAGTGGACAATCATCAGGGGGTTACAACTGAACTACCAGAACTACCAGGTCCTCTTGCATGCATGTAACTGGATGATGAGAGATGTTCTCCCTCCTTTTACTCCAAGGCAATGCAACCCTTTTTACAGAAACTCCAGGGCAACCCTCCGACCACAGCAGACTCTCTCTGTTTGAAGGCTGCAACTTTGGTCACAGCAATAAGCAAAGAATTGCTTGAAACACAACTGATCTGTTTCAACGGCAATTCAGTGGCAGTAGGACAGCACTGAAAAGGGCTTCTTTTGGCAGGAGTCTATGGCCTTTCTTTGCAAACAGAAAGTCTCTTGCACTGCAGCAGTGTCTATCCTAGTTCATGTGAAGCCAGAGCCAAAAATGCATCAGCCTGCAAAGCCCCCATTGAGGAAGCACATTCCTTACAAAAGAGCTGCCAATTTTGCCTGACACCAAGGTCACCGAAAGGTAAATGACCATTAAACTAGATTATAAAAGCCATTCCTACCAATAACCACTGATCTTTGTCATTGTGCTACAATAACAACCTATGTCTACATCTAATTACTTCATGTCTTGGCCTTATGAGGAAATGGAAAGACAGGCTCAGAATGAACTTTCATTCAAGTGTTTTAGTAACCACTGGGTAGGATTATATTAGACCATTTAATCTAAATTCAATTATTTATTTTATCAAGGTAGAGGGGCCCCAGCCACCGGACAAAGAACTGTAATAAGATACATACTAAAAGACAAATTCTTTCCTCTACTGGGATGAGAGGTGAAAGATAAGGAGTATCATTTGCTAACAGGAAACTAAGGCATAGAGAGATTAAGCGATTTGTCCAGGGATACAGGCGTATTCTCCAGCAGATCAGGAATACAACCTAGCTTTCCTGCATCCCAGCCTGCAGATCTCGCTCCCAAACCACCCTTCCTTGGATCCCGAAGCGTTGGGAGATTTCTCACCTTCCTGCCGAAAGCAGGATCTGGGGTTTGGTACTTTTGGTTTCACCCCTCCTAGGAGGGGCTGGGCTAAGCTGCTGGCAAACAGCACACATCAGACACCTGGTAAATACCTGCAGCCTGTGTCATGCCAAGCTTTTCACTTGAAAAAACCTTGGAAAGTCCAGAGATGGTGAAACTGATAGTAGCGCCGTGATTCACGTGAGCGTCAGGCTGCAGGAGCAGCGGGGTTCCTCAAGGTACCCACACATCCCCAGGCTCCCGGACTGCCTCCTCCGTGCAGTACCTCCTAGGGCAGCCTTTCGGCCCCCACTTCCCACTGACCAGCCCCAGCTGGCAGCACTGGGATTCCCCAGGGGCTGCTTTGGCAGAAAGCAGTTCCTTTCTTGCCCTGGTTTCTTTTTTCCTTCCCTGCATAAAATCAATAGAGCAGCTGATGAGCGTGCAGAGAGGACAGGCGGGCACAGAGACAGCATTCAGGCCGC